ATTATGATAATAAAGATAATAAATATATTAAAAGTGACAACGCCAAAACATCATGTAAGATAAATATTTCTATTTTTAATAAGGTTATGCTATTTGCGTTTTATTAAGATGTGAAACAAATTTCTTTTAATTTACAATGTTATTGAATGATTTATTAGCAATAGGTCATATACAAGTAACACCGCAGATGATTCGTGCAGCTATAAAAAGGTTGCAACTTCGTAAACTTTTCGTCAATATAAACCTAATCGCAGACTATTTACGTCGTAATTATCCTGTTGATAGAAATAAAAAAACATTTAGAAAAGAATTGATTAAAAAATTGGATTGCGCGGTTCGCGTTGGATTAATAGTGATGCATGCACAGGATGCTTATTGTATACCTAATATAAGAGAGGACGCAAATAACATAAAAACAGCTCTCTCGGCATTTTGGGAAATGTATAAAAATGTAAGTAAAGAGTTTATAATTCTTTATGTTTTTTTATATTTTATAACATTTGCTATTTCTTTTTTAGTATAAAAAATTATCTATTCTACGATATGGAAATCAAAATAAAAAGAAATCCACCATCAAAAGGAAATTAAGAAACAAGATAGAACATTTTGAAAAATAAGCAAATTTCCGTAAAATAAACGACAATGTACTTAACGAAAATATAATCTTTTGTATTTGTTTACTAATTCATATTATACGTTGGATACAATTATTGGAATATACATATTGTACATATATTTTTTAATGATACAATATGCGAGATTTTTTATAATACATATTATAGTACATAATAAATAGATTGCAGATCTTTATGCAAATTTTCGTTTTCATTCGCCATTTTAGAAAAGTTTGAATTAAAAAATAGTTTTCTTAATCAACTGAAAGATTGCTCATTATAAACAAAAAATAAAAATGCTATTACATTTTGTCAATTTAGATGTTTTCTTGTATTTTAGAAATCTGCACAAGCTATAAATGTATAAAGATCCACAATTTAATAATAAAATATATGTAATACGTATTATATTACAATCAAAAGATAAATTTAAAAATTTTTTAAACTATTAATAAATCTATAGACTT